CAGCCAGACAGCACCTCGCCCAGCAGCCGCCCGCCACCGGCTGTCTGCCCCGCGGGAGGCAGGCGCCCGCTCCGCATCCCACACGCCGACAAGCATCCTTCTCGGGGGCTCAGCTCCTTTGTCACCGCGCTGCCCGGTGTTGCTCGGACCCGTTGTCTGCAGGGAGCCGCGGCCTGGTGCCTGGTTACCTGCCCGGCCGCCCCGCCTCCCCCGGGAGCAGGCGGCTCCCGCACACCGCCCGCCTCGGGCGCGCAGAAGCGGCTGGAGCCACCCCAAGTTCTGCCGCGAGGCGGCCAGGCCACGCACCGACCAGCAGCCGCCGCCTCGGGCTGCTGCCGGACGGGGGCTGCGCGCTGCCCGGGGAGTCGCTCCACACCCGTTGGAAAGCGCCACCTCACCCCGTTACCTCCCCACCCCCAGCGGGGAGCCCCAGTGCGGCCTGCCCCCGACTCCCTACCCCCTGCGAGGGGGGAGCAGAGGCGCCCCTTACCCATGGCCACAGAACAGCAGCCAGCTTGTCGCGGACGGGCTGGCCTCCCTTGCACGGCTCACACTCCAGCCCTTCGCAGGCTCCTTCTCCTCCACTCCCCCGTCACAATCCGCACTGCGCCCCCGGCGGCAGGAGGACCTGCCCCTCTCTGCCCACCCTGGAGCGCAACCAGCGGGGAGTGGCTGCTACTGGCACTGGGCAGAGCTCAGCGTAGGTCCCCCTATACTCCAGCCACACAGAATAACCGCTGCTCGACCGGTGATGACGCCGCAAAATTGGTGTCTAGAGCCAGCCTTGCCCCCCACGTGAGGCTTCGGAACAGGAGGCAACCCTGGGGCTAATCCTCACCCTCCTCTTTCATAAATAGCCCAAACTACACAGGGCTCAGCTGCCACCAGCGCCCTACACAGGCTTGCAGCAATGGCCCCAGGCGGGCTCATAACAACCAATACAGAGAAAACGTTAGCTTCTCACTTCTGCACGTATGCATTTCTGACCTAATGCGTGTGATTTTCTTTTGTATTGACAAATAGGCGTGTTTTGCATTGCTTTATTGTAGCTTTAGGTTGTAAACGCTTTAGGGAAGGGATTGTCTCCTTTGTAGTTGTACAGCACCCAGCCTCTGGTCGGTCTGGTGATATAAATATTTTATAAGACACCGTTCCCAGCTTTAGGTAGATTTTGTTTATGCACCAATAAACTATTCTCCCCTTCTATTTGTCAAAAGTAAGGGAAGAAGAGAAGTCCAAGACTGACGGTTTACTACTACTTCTTGGTTCTTGGGATAAATATAAAGGTGCCTTCCACCTATACCATAAATTAGGTGTGATTAATACACACATTTCTGCCACAGGTGCTGCATGTAAAAGAAAATTTTCATGCCTTCCATAAATGAAAGTGTGCCTAAAGAATTGTATAACAAGAGACCTGTTAAGAGACTTGGTTGTCATAGCTACACTTACAAACCCTACTCACATACCAGGACCTCATTATTCTAGGCACCATATAACTAGATGAAAGTATTACTAAGTGTAATACAGGGGCCAAGAAATTGATACAGGTAAGTGAGTACAAAGACACAATATTGTTCAGCATAGTAGACCATGATCTCAGTCTCAGTGCACCTACAGTCTAATTGTGCCTAGAAAAAAAAGTGACCATCACCAAAAAGGAGTTTTAAAGAGGAGGTTTGCAAGTGGAAAGTGAGGTAGCATTACAGCTGATTACAATAAGCAGTAAGGGCACCATAGAAGAAAGCACAAAAGGTATTTATTTGAAAATTTAACAAATGGATGATAGAAGCTACCATCATGAGAGAGAGGAAGTGAAAGTTGACATCTGGATAGTGAATGAAACAGGGAATTGAAATGGAAGGCACTGACAGTGAAGACAAGCAACATGTTTATTACAAAATGGGAGGAGGAGCCACTAGAGAGATCAAAGAGAGGCATGATATGCTCAAAGCAACTGGCAAGGAGAATAGACTTTGAAGCAGTAGTCTGAATGGATAGGAGGGGGTAAGCTTAGACTTGTCAAGGGCAGAGAAAAGTATGTTGCTGTAATTAAGAGGAGGGCTTGGATGAGAGTTGTCCAGGTGGATGGATAGGAAAGGTCATATCTTAGCCATATTATGCAGAAAGAATAGGCAAGATTTAGACAGCCTGCAATTGAGGACCTAAAGAGGTCAATAAAGATGACACTCAGCTTACAGGCCTGAGTGACAAGCAAAACAGTGATGCTATCTATAAATGATTGAGCAAAGAGGGCCTAGAGGGGGCAGCAGGAGATTAAGTGCTGTTTCAGCAATATTGAACTTAAACTGACAGCTGGACATCCACAAGACTCTAGAAAGGCTGAGGAGACAAATCTGGAGGGGCAGTAGAGGAGATCAGTAGAGGTGCTCAGAGAGGGGGTTGACATGATCAGAGCAATGAACCAAGATTTTAGCAGCAGCATTTGGAATAGACTTGGGGAAAGCACGGGTGTAATAGTCAAGGCCAGCAAAGAGGTGCCCAAAGCAGTCAAGACATGAAATGATGAGGATTGAAGTTTTATCTCTGAGATAGAAAGGAAAAGCTGGAATTTAGATTTTAGGCAAGTATAAACAGCAAGATTTAGAAATAGCCTGAACACACAGATCCAGCCAAAGGGCAAAGTTAAAAATTACTCATTTGAAAATATTAAATGAGTAGGAGGATAGCAGTGACGTCCATGGTGACAGACAGAGAGGGCTTGGGGAGGAAAGATCAAGAGCTCAGCTTCAGCCACACTGAGTTTAAGATGACTGGAAATTTATGAAGAGATATCAGGAAGAGATTATAAAGTACAGATGAGAAGCAATAGAAAAGTGCCTATAGGCCAGCAGTGATACAGTCATGCTGAGTGAAACAGCAAGCATTAGCCTTTTTTTGTAAGTGTTAGCCTAAAATAAGTTTGGGATCAAACAATTTTCATGTTTATTCACCACTTAAAAACACTATAGTGCTTAAGAAAGTGAGAAACCCCACTATAAATGGCTCTGTAAAAAATGTTTGTTTTTCTAGGGCATTTATCCATTCTGCAGTTTTTACCTGTCATTTGTTCTTATACAAATTTACAAGACACCTGCAAATTTGTATATATTAGAAAGCTGTACCTTAAAATATACCTTCTGTCCTAGAAATTTTGTTCTTTTCAGATATTTATGAGCAAGTTTGTCATTTGATTTGACAACTTCTTATGATTACTTTGAGGTATTGGCATTTCCATGAATAAATTATAGATAGCTACTTGACTGTGTCAGAGGGGTGAGCTAATTAATCACCGGGGACATGGTACAGAACAGAGAACATTACTGCTTTACTTCAAAATAGGGATTAGACAGAATCTAACTATGGACATTGAGTATCCAAAGGCATTCTTAAAAGGCTTGCTGGGTGTTTGTCAGATCCATGCACCAAGATCCAACACTGCACAGTTGGAAACATTACTAAAAAGAACCCTAAACAAATATAGGTAGAAAAGAGATAATGGAAACATCTTTATTTTTAAAGTAGCTTTTTGTTAGTCTAATCCAAACAATGGCCACATATGTAGCCAAAAACTACAAACTTCATCTTATCCCCCCCCCCCACTTTAACTTTCTGCAGCCAGATCCCTATGAAAGAGCAGAGTCAAGGAATGAAAGAAGCAGTTAGAGGAAGAACTGACAGTTTTAAAATGGTCCTTTCCCCCAATGTTCAGCTCCAGTTTAGTCAGCTGACAGCTTTTTCACGACTCTAAGATCTCACTTATATAGAAGACTAAATTAAGAGCTAACAGTCCTGGTTTCTGCTATAATCCTGATATCTGATATTGGAGATTCCTGCATTTCTGTACCAGTGAATATTACTCTAGGATCAGGGCCTTAGTTTCTATATTAGAAAAGTGAGCTGAATTTAGCACACTTTAGCTGTGTATCTTTATACATTGATGCCACCCAAAACTGGATACTATGATTTTTTAAAAATGAAATCTTAAATTGTTATTCTAACACCAAGACACTCCTGGATTATTAGGTTCTAAATGAATCCTATATTTTCCTGTCAGTATATTTTCTACATTTCTATGTATTTCAACTCAGTGCAGTTTTATCTGTAGGTTTTTCTTAGTTTCAGCTAAACTCCACTCTCTGAAGAGGGCACATTTTAACTACTGGAGGAGAGGGAGATGGCCGACTTTCACCCTTATGCCTGATTTTCATGTAGTGTAAGTGAGATTTTACAAACTTTTCATTTAAGTTATCATAATACTGATTTTGATCATCAATAATAGGATCAAATCCTCTGTTGGTATAAATCAGTGTATGTCAACTTACAACAGCTGAGGATTTGGCTTATAATATTAACTCTCTCAAACTTAAAAACACAGATAAGCAACTATTGACAAGTCAAAACTGAAGGAAAAATTCTGTGGAAAGAGATGCCAGATTGCTCCAGCACGCTTACTGAAGTATTGGAACCAGATATAATTTTTTTTACACGTTTTAAAACTTTCCCACCTTCAAATAGTTGTTTGCTGCCTATCATAGGTGGCAGGTTGCTAAGACTAGGTATGGCTGAGCCCCTTTGAATCTACTTTCTGAGCCTGCCCACCACCCACCCAACTTGGCCAATAAAGCCCGATGGCCAGCAGCTCCAGGGCCAAGAAGGGAGTAAGGCAGATGTTGCAGGGGAGGAGGAACCACCTGTGTACAGACAGGCACATCAAGTGACCCAGTGGTGCACTCCTTTGAATCTGCGAGCATCAAGCCCCAACAGGCCAGAAAGGGTACCTAGGCCAAACCTGCACAACAGGAGCTGCCTCTGCAGAGTGAATGGCGGTGGGCTCAGCCCCCTCAAAGGATATTTTCACCAACTGCCTATGTTGCTATTGAAAAAAAACCAGTAACATACGTGAAAAGTTCAGTTACACAGTAAGTCATCGTGTCTAAGCATTTCAACTGAAAATACTGATATTTTGTTTGATTCACGCAGTGCCATAACTAGCCCAATTGTAACAATTTAGCAAATTTTTATTACATTACAAATATTACAAAAAATTGTGAATTTAAAACACCAAAAATGCCCACATCTAATGTATAAAGTCATGAACAATGCTTTGAACACAACTTTGACATTAAAGAAAAGAAATGTGAAAAAATACAATGAAAGGCATGAGTGTCTTTTTGAAGAGTCAAAAGTTAAAATCTACAAATTAATGTTAGGTTAATAGCATAAACTGAAGCGTTAAGCATGAGGTAGTTCTATTTTAGCTTTCTTATACTGTGTCAAGTAAAGGGAAATTTGCATCATTTAAGGAAACAACCTGGCATGTAAGTTTATTAACAGTAAGCTACAAATCTGTCCCCAACCCAACAACTCCCAAATGAAAGCCAATATTACATTCATATTACATATGAAATCCTGGCTCCATTAAAGTCAGAGTCTTGCCATTGACTTCAAGGTTGGCCAGGATTTCACCCCATAAGTTTTTTAAAAGCTTTCATTTGCTAAAATAATTTAACTCTTATAGGCAAATAGGTATATCAACATCACATTTCTCAGAACGTATCCAAAAGCTAGTGGAAGATGGAAATAGGTTATCAAGTTGTGTCAGTGTGAGAAGTCTAGAATACAATTATGTATGTAAACATAAAAGAGTGTTATGTTCTTACACATATGATAGACTTTAAAAAGAAAGCAACAGGATGGGCATTGGAAATAGAAAAGGGAACTCTCTCATATTTTCTAAGAGGCACAAAAACACGATCTTAAAGTTTGTAAGAAAGAAGGGAATTTCTATGTAAGAACTACATTTTAAAATCTGCAAAACCAAAATGATCCCAAATGTAGTCACTCAAAGCAGTGTCTATTATTTGTACTGAGTGGCAAGTAAGCAATTTCTTATCCCGCACAAGAAATACATAGATAAATATATATCCAAAGGAAAATGGAATATGAGAGTAGCTATCTAGTACCTCTAGAAGTGCAGACTTTTGTGCTACTGATATGGTAGTGTCACGCTGGTAATAAAATTACCTGTTTTCTTTATAAGAATTTGTGCAATATGGTGAGAAGAAACTTTTACAGTTTGAGAAACCAGACTGAAATCAAATCCATTCAGACTACATGCTGCACTCAGCACCCATAGTCTACTAAACCATTTTTTGCATTCAGTTGCACATGTAGAAAATGAACAAGATGACTTTTTTCCTCAAATTCTTCATCTTTACAGTCATAGAAGGTCATAGACCTGATAGACACGTTCATGTGCCCCTGACGGAAGATTGAAAATGTAATAAAAGTTAAGGAAAACAAACTTCAAATACTTGGATAATATTTTGTTCTTGCAAAAGACAGTTTATAAGTGTATGGGTCTGTCTTGTGTCGAAAGTAATTTTGGGGCATATCACAATGCCATCTTCAAACCTTCCCACTTCACGTGCTCTGTTTTAGCAGTTATACGTTTCTCTAATTACTCTGAGAAGGGACAAAGTCTAATGAAAAGACTCAATGAACAAGAGAGAGATTATGTATATAAAGGTACCGTTTTTTCAGTTCTAGGAGCCTTATTAATTACTGCACTATCAATACAATTCCTTTTAAATATATGCCCTCTCCCGCCACACGTTTGAAGAAAATAAAAAGTTGACATGCTAACCACATCTAGTGGACTATAAAATGGGAAGATAGAAAAACAGGGTTAAATAGAGGCCTGTTTTTATGTAGCTTTATTTTAAAATGTTAAACAGTGTAGCCTCATTCAGTGTTTCCCAAACAGTATGTCTGGATCACAGGAAGGTTCTAGATGGGGTGCCATGTCCAGGGGCACATTAGCCCATCACTGAGCCTCGGCAAACACTTCTCCCAGCCTTGTGTGCAGGGAAGGGTTGGGAAGCAAATTGGCCCTGCACTCACCCCGAAGCAGCAGCTTCTATCCCATGGGGCTGGGCCAGGCTCCCCACTCTGAGTTTTGCAACCTGGTGCATAGGGTCACACCACCATTCTCTCAGATTTGGCCCAGCCAAATTTTAGAGTAAGTCACCAGTTCTATGCCGGGCAGTTAGAGCGCTTTGCAAGTCACACCCCTTTAGAGACTCTTGTCACATTGTGTAAACAAGCCCTTAAATCAAAGCTGATTTGTAAATTGTGGAAGATACAATTACAAATTTTGGACTCGCTTATTAGCTGGACCCAAAGCATACCCCTTTAATAATGTTTCGTTGGTAACTTTTCCCACTGTAATACAGATTGACCATGTAGTATAGGCCATGATTTGTGCATCTTGAAAAGTCTGAAACATTTGCCCCAAATCTTGCTATAGCTCCGTTACAGATACAACTCCTGACACTAGACACACAAGACCCAACATTCAAGGAAATGGTATTTGAGTAGCCTCCTTTGGCTGCTGGTGTTGATCACAAATCATAAGAGAACACAGAATATGTTTCATGGCAGCAATAGCCAATGGGGAAGACCATACTGAATAACAGAACTTGTAATTCAATAGGCTGTTACAACTTTGCAAGATGAAGAATCTACAATATCTACAAGGTGCTCCCTGTTCTTCTTGAGATGCTGCCTATTCAACTGTTAAGTTACTGAATAAGTAGACTAGCTGCAAACATGGAAGTCTACCGCACTGAGATGGGGACCACTGCACAAAGTATTTTATTGACATTTTTTCATAGAGGACTTTCACCCTAACATCCATTACTAAATGGAAAGCTGTTGGCAAAACTGCAAGTTACAAATATGGGCAAATATTAAGGTTGTCCATTCTAAGAATAATGTATATTTACAATAAGTCAGATGTGGCCTGTGGCAAATTGAAAATACAGTTCCCATGCTACAGAGCTTCAGCTCCCCAGTCTAGCAGCACCTTTTCTTTCCCTTGAAAGCACTCTCTGTAGTATATATCCTTCTCAGCATATAATTCCAGTCTGTTTCAATAGAAGTGTGCAGTTTCAACTATTGTAATTTATTCCATTTTCAAATATTAAAACTAAGGAGAACATATTTATCCAGGAAGAGTATCAGGATATACTGAAGTGCATAGGAAAAGGATATCATGGCTTCAGAGTTTAAATGGCAGAGTAGCTTCTCTAATGGAGGATAGCGGCACAGTGATGGAACACAGCCCAGCATGATTAACTTGTGCTTCGCTCTTGTAATAGCAACATTAAGACGCCTCCAATCCATCAGAAGTGTTCCAAGCTGTTGAAATTAATATAATTATTTATTCTCTCTCACTTCACATTTCAACTTTTTAAAAGAATGAAAAGTGTAGACGTACAACCCATCTTCAATTTTTTAAACGTCAAGGAGGTTGCTTATATTTCTTAAAAGGAACATGTCAAATTTAGTTCCAAATTATGTTTCTATAAGATGCATTAAAAAATGTAGCCAACATAAATAATCCATTATTATTTTAATTCTAATATAACATTGTTAATCACTCTTAAGTTTTTCCAACCCAAACATTAAAACAATATGCTAGAGGAGGAGAAAAAAAATCAAAGTGGTTAGAAACACGAAAAGGTTAAACTCACTAATTTATTTTCATTATTCAAGTGTGAGAACAAAGCCAAACAGTATGAATTAACTAAATTCAAATTTAAAATATTTCATTTTAAAATATAAGCATGCTATCAAAGTGTTGGAGCAAATTGTTGACTCTATACAAAAAATTAAAAATGGCATTTTAACAAAAATATCCTTAATCAGTCTATATTACTTTGTAAGTGCCAACTAACCACTCAGTTTTCCCAGTGTAAGTGCAATTGTTATAGATGTAATTATGACTAAAATATATTCATGCATGTTCAGTAAAAAGTATTCAGGTCTTATTTTAAGGATTTCAGTTAATGGTAGTCTTAACTTTGTGAAATGTCTTTGAATCATTTAGTTAAATATAGTCCACTCACATTTCCATCATTGTTATTCCTAACAAAAGATACTATTATGATACTTTTGTCTCTTCCTTGGTATTTGTCCACAGTATTTACTTCCACTGTACTGATACATGAGCTTTTCATTAAATCAGTGATTATCTTTAACTGATGTCTGTATGGAGATACGATACCAATATCTGAAGCTTTACAGCCAGCCTTAACAGAAAGAAAAAGCAAAAAAGAGTGATTTGAAAACATGACCGTGTAGTTGGTTGCAGAACAGACCCCAAACTAAGAGACCCTCTAGGAACTCCCAATTCTACAGAATATGACAAATCATTTATCAAAGGAAGTCTAAGCACAGTTATTAGTTAAAATCAGGCCCCAAGCTTTGGCCTTCCCTGGCACTTTAGGAGGGGGGGGTCCTCAAAGTCCTCATTTCTCCCTCTACTTCATACTTTAAAGAAATCCCTTGTAGCTGATTGTCCTTCAGAAGGCTGAACATAGCTCTCAGCAGAGTATGTCAGTCAATGTCACTCCCAGTTCGCTCTAGAAGTCACTGAAGAGGAAAGAGGCACTTCCCCGTTCCTTCAAGGACCGAACATGCTGCCTCCATGCACTCTAGGCCCAGCCAGGCTCGGGTCAGAAGACAAAATGAGATCCTGAAATTCTAACCCCTGCATCGGACTGCCATTCAACCAGCCTTCAGTTTACTCTTTGAGATTCCAGTTAATTCTTGTTAAAGTACAATTATTTTGCCCTCCCTCCAAACATCATATTAAAAAAATATATACCTTAATAAAGAAGGAGGTGAGGAAGAGTACTAGTTTGGCTTCTGTCATGTTACTTACACCACCTTTTTCTGCCTGTTCTGGTGCTGGAACCTGTATAAAAACTCAAATGACTATCATATGCACAAGTTATATTTTGTTCAGTAATTCAATGAAATTGTATTACATTCGCTCATGTAAAACTACTAATATTCAAATAGCACCTTTCATCCTAAAACCACAAAGCAATTTATCCAGGTGGCTATCACTGTTTTACAGCTGGGAAACTGAAGCACAAAGTGGCTTGTCCAAATGTCACAGAAAATGAAAATTCTCTCTTATCTGTGACTTTTCATTCTAGGAACCTCCATGTCAGTCTTCACAGTGGGGATTCTGTCTCCATGGTAACTGGAGGCAGACCATTTTTGTTTTTAAACTGAACCTGGTCTTAGGACTACCCCTCAGGAAGAACTCTCCAGAATAATAGTATTTTTCAGCTTTAGAAATAAAATTTGTAAGTACTCTTCAACTGAAACCACTTGCAACAGAGTTGACAATGGAAAGTTTCTTACCTCATTACTTCCTTTCCTCTAGCAATGTCTCACACAATTCTGTGATACTTGGGCTGTTCCCCTACTCTTTACAGTTTTGGAAATTGTTCAGCCCATACTGGTCATGCCCCCCTTCTCCAGGTGCCAACCAGAAGCGTCATTCCAAAGCTGCGTAGAAACTCTTAGCACATAATCATCAACAATAATCTTAATGCCAAGCAGTGAACTATGTACAGTAGGCTACCTCCTTCACAAACTAGACAAAATAAATGTTGCCCCTTTGGCTACAGAAGTCATATCAGCGAGGGCAGAATTGGAAGAGATGCTGCTAGCAAAAAGATAATTCGGTAAAGAGTTTTTGGATTTCGTTGCCCAGCATCTCCGACAATTTTGTGATGCTTGTAAAGTAACTAGTAAGGGAAAGACTAAGAAAGACTGAAATATAGACATCTCCCCTTGAAAGTAAAATGGCAAGTTATTTTTGGATCACTGCATACAGCACCTTCCTTCCAAAGGAGGCCTCTGAAGAGGATAGAAAGTTAGTCTTAAAAAGGTGTTTGATAAAGGTGTTGATACATCATGTTGCTGTCCTGCAAGTTTGCTCAGTTGAGACACATGTCATTCTGCCCAAGAGGTTGCTAGAGATCATAAAAGAATTAAAACCCACCTTTTCAAGAACAGGTTTACCTGGTGCCTTTTGTGTCACCACAATGCATAACAACTTAATCCATCTGGCCAGGAATAGTTTGGATACCTGAAGGCCTTGGAACTCCAGATGAAAGAACATGAACAAAGAGCCTGATCTTCTCAACGATTCAATGCACCTGAGGGTAGAACTTTGGTGTTCTAAGTACATCCAGATTATACCACACCTTTTCTGTTTTTGACAAAAATGATGAGAAGCTCATTTCCTGGCTCATCTAGAATTAAAAGAGGAATTCACCTTTGATAAGAAAAATTCTGGAGTCCTTAAAACCACCTTGTTATCCTGGGGGACACAGTATGGTTCCTGAGTTGCCAACTCCAAGACATCTAGCAGACATGCTAGCAACCAAGAAGCAAGGTTTCTTAAACTAAAAAGGCCTAACAGCTAACAGTTCAAATGGATAGCCATTAGGGATTTTAGCATCATTGGTAAATCCCACCTTGGAAAGCTTGGTTTGTCTACAGGTTTAGCCAGTTTGACTGCTCTGAGAAATCTTGCAGCCTGCAAACTTTCAGCTGAGGAGCCCAAGGATGCAGTGTGTTAAGACACTGCTTAAATCTGACAACTAATGTTCTACAGTGTTAGGCAACAATCCCTTGTCCAGACTGTTCTGAAGGAAATCCAGAATATGTGAAATTCCAGGGTCCTTGGGATTTCTATCTGCTTGGCACCATGAGCTAACCCATGCCCAGATGGAGTAGCCCTTTAGCATTGAAGTCCACGCGGAGGCCAGTACACTCCTGATTCACCTTGGAGGAAAACAGGGTGCACGTAATGCTTTCCTCTCAATAGCTCGGTTGTCACATGGAGACAACTTGGGCTTGAATAGAGAATGGAACCTTGGTCAAGGATTTGTGGACTCACTGGTTGATACAGTGGGGTTGGGTTCCAATGCCAAGTCTCCAAATCTGAAAACTATTATCTGCTTGGCAAGTGTGGAGCTAGAACTATCAACTTTGCTTCCTTTCATTTTATCATCTCAATCACCCTTTCTGCAAGCAGAAGTTGTGGGAATGCAGAAAGAAAGCGCTTCAGCCACCTGTGTGAAAGAACATCTGTGCCTAGCGATCTGTAAATAGTTTGCCTTGCGAAATACAGTGTCAAGCTTTCTGTTCCCGGTGAAAGATCCACAGATGCCATGTCATGTGTAAGACTTCTGGATTTGTTTGGAGTGGCCATCTGCTATCCAAATGCATAAAAACAGACCGGGTTGCTGATCTGCATGCCATGTCCCTGGCTGAGCACCTCATTTAATTGCAGATGGCTTAGCGAACACAAGCAGTTACCAGGGACAATCTCTTAAGGCTAGTCCTGAACTCAGGATGATCCTGGTCATCCAGGGCCTTTAGATAGTCTAGTCAGGCCACTGCACCTCTTGCAAAACAGGAAGCATCCATGGATGCTCAAAGCAGCTAAGAAAATCAAAGACTACTCCTAAGGGTGGTCTCTACCTTTGGTATTTCTGATCAATACTGTAAAACATGCACCAGTCAAAAAATGCTAAGTACATATTTTGCTTGTATGCTTTCCCTTATCGAGGTGTTCCTATTAATCTCTGGTTACATCTTCAAAAAGAAGGATGCATGTGAATTTCCTTTCTCAGGCGGGGATTTCCCTGGCAGGTATTCACCCTTTGAATTCTCATCTAATACCTCATCTGGTTGGAGCTGTACAGAAGATGGCATTTTCCTGCACACAGTAGCAAATTCGTCTTGGGGAAAAAACCTTGGCTGATCAGGCCTTTCTGCATTGAAGTTGCAGCTCCTCAGGTCAGATAGCTATGAATAGGAGGGGAATAATTCACCCTCTGAAGAGACTGTAAATGCTCCCTCAATATAGATGGCTGCTTTTATTTAGCCTTATGTTTCCAAGACAGCTCTCCCACTGCCTGAGGGGCAGCAGGTGTGTGTCACAGGGAAGGTGCTTTGCAAGCAGCCCCAGGTACCTGATGCCACCAGGCTGCCAATTACCTGATCCAGGAAAGGAGAAGTTTACTACTCCTGAAAACATACTAAAAAAATCAAAGTTAGCAAAGGAATTGGTCAGCAGCAAAGCAAACCACTGCTAACTGCTGCCACAGAAATGAGAATTCTGGAGGCATGGACAATACAGGCTACACTGTGATGCTGAACCATTTCCAGAACTGTAGAAGGTAGGGGAACAGCCCCAATTTCACAGAGTTGTGGGAGACACTAGACTGCATAAATGAAATTTAGGAATTTAATGGAGGAAAGACTTCTTCCTTTCAAACTACTTGACAAGCAAGCAACAGACAGGAAAAAACAACCCTGGATAGAAAGCAGTAAACCTGCACTTGGAGGGTCGGGGGGAGAGAGAAGAGGATTCGATAAACTCCTGTACAATTAAAAAGGAACTCAACCACCTTGCCATGGACCTTGACCACATGCCATCTGGAAGCAGAGTTTCAGCAGCCTTCTATGACATTTATGAAGAGGGAAGGAGAGGTGCTGTACCTTCACACCCTCCTCAGAAAGCCACAACAAAAAATATACTTCAACAGTTTTAAGAAAATCCTCAAAGCTAACGAAGAAATTGAGATACACTTAGTTAAATCTTTCTGGCAGGCAGCCAGCCACAGAAGGGTGCATGGACAAGCTCCCGTGAAAGTGCTACAAAGGGAGACCTGGAGTCTGCTGTCTGTGCTGCTTGGAGGCTGGGAATTCTGGAGAGTTCTTGGAGGGGGCAGTCGACCAAGCCCTGGCTCAGAGGAAAGATCTGTACTTCCTTCAGTTTGCCATGCAAAGCCATTGTAGAGCTATGTAGAAGGAACTAAAATCAGTTTTAGAGAGGAGAAACGCTAACGTCCTCAACTCCCAATCACCTGCTCTAACCACTACACCATGCTGCCTCCCTTACAGGACTTAGGCTATGCCTACAGTGCACTTTCGTCAGTAAAACTTTTGTCGCTCAGGGGTGTGGAAAAAAAATAATAAAAAAAAAAAAAAAACACCCACACATCCTGACCGACAAAAGTTTTACTGATGAAAAGCGCCAGTGTGGACAGCTCTGTCGGTGGGGGATGCTCTCCAACTGACAAAGCTTCCACCCACCCCTCATTGAGAGTGGATTTTATTTTATTGGCAGGAGCGCTCTCTCCTGCTGACAAAGAGTGGCTACACTGCATACCTTACAGTGGCGCAGCTGTGCCGCTGTAAGGTTTGCAGTGTAGACATAGCTTTAGGCAGTGTCGTATAGTGGATAGAGCACAAAGTTCTCTGCCCACAACATTCATCCTCCTCCCACAACCATTGAAGTGCTCCAATCCATCCTCCTTCCTTCCCTGGAGATAATTCCAGCTCCAGCCCCATGAATGATCATCATACATTCCGAAAGTAATTCACTCCCTCCCGCAAGTTAGCTTCCAGCCCATAGTCAGGTACAGAACAGCAAGGCAGATTATATAGGGGGTACAATCCCAAGAGAAAGATTTTGTGAAGAATTCCCTACAACCAGTGTCACAAGCTGCCTTACTGCTAGAAACATTCATCCTAAGCAACTCTTATCTGCCCCATGGAAAACCTTCAGAAACAGTTTCCTAATGGTTAGAAAGGGATACTATTTGGTTACACATTCAGAACTTCCAATCATGTCACTCATGTTGAATTCTTGTAACTGAGTGCAGAATTTGGCTCAATATTAATGAAGTTAGTACATTTCAAGAAAAACACATTTAGAATTTTTCATAACGTTAAAGATGCCGGATGCAAAACATTTCAAGACAGCCAATGCTCAGACTTCTGAATTGACTTTTTGCCTGCTTACCATGAAGTGTGGTGCTTATAGCAGTAGCTGTACAGTGTAAGCAAACAACGAGGATGAGAATGTCTCTTGGCTAAATTATTTCAGTTAATGCAGCATTTGAAGTTCGGAACACTTTGTATACAACTGGAAGACTTTTTTTTTTTTTTAAAGACAACATACTGTTGCCTATACTCTATAAGTTGTACAAGTTTGATAAGGAAAAGCCATAAGAATTTTAAAATTTAAACAATTAACTAATTGAATAATACACAGTATTTTGAAGGCAGCATAGCATGAAGATAAATGGAAGTATGCATGCAAAGTTTACCTTTTCTGTGTTAAGAAAACACACAGGATTGTTTGGCTCAAGTGTTTCTTTCAACCATGTTTCTGAAGAATCTGCAAATAATTCCAGCTCCAGCGTCAAGTTTTTTAAGTTTGGCAGGATAACAGTGGCTTTGGACACTTTCTCTGAGCCACATTCCAATTTGCCTTCATACACCAACTTATTACTTAGTGACATAATTTTACTGTGGAGTTTAAAAACAAAAGCAGTTTTAAGTCTTATAGATTGAAATTTACATTAAAAAAATCACTAGTAACTGAAATAGTTTTAAATACCTATTCATTCTGTACTGCACAGTTAACTGGACAACAGCATTCTTGTTTTGTTCCAGTCTCTTAAACAAACTTTCACTCATGCCAAGATCTCTGTTAAAAAATATCAGATGTGTAAGTCAGTGCCTTGAAAGTCCACTTGTTGCCCCAACACCACACACGTTTTGTTTTTCCAATAGCATTTTATCTTACCTTGCTTCTGTGTTGTGTACAAGTGGAGGTAGCTGTTGATGGTCCCCCACCAGCACAAACCTATGTGAATAGAAGAGTGGACCCAGGCAGATTGGCTGGCTTATTTGAGAAGCCTCATCCACTATGCAGAAGTCAAACAGTTTCCGAGCAAAAATTGGATGGTTTACTCCCATGCACGTTGTTGCAACTACTGGCTGAAAATTTGGACATATTTTACAGATAAAAAGGTATTTTCTTCCCTTTTCCCATTTCATATTTTAAATACAATTTCTACATTAATAAGTCTGACCTCTAACCAAATAAAAGCTACATTTTTTTAAAAACCCATTAACCCTTAATACTGGGAGTCTGAGTTTTACATAGCCCTTAAACTCCTTATAATCCAAAAACTTTACAATATATTGATTTACAAACAAAACAAAAGTAGTTCTGGAATACAGAGATTAGCATCCAGTTCAGGATTCATTCCTGCTAAGTGTTTAGGATTCTATTTTTAAATTTAATTAAACAAATATGGAGCTTGTGAATGGTGCTGGACTGACTGCCCTCGAGACTGGTGTCTGTGACAGAGACCACTTGGTGTTAACTGGCAGGAGGCACAGGAGTGCATTGGTTGTACAGGTTCCCCTGGGACAGATATCTGCATAATAGTTCACCAAAGGGTGGCATGTGAGATCTTTTGTTGAGAAAGTTGATTGTCATAATCATTGAAAAATATATGTATGGCTAATACTTAAGGAGTTTGACATCTATCCTGAAAACAATGCTCTTAAAGTTGTAGAGCTAGGCAGGTCACCAGGCAGTGACTATCTCAGAGATATTCCCTTCAGGCAGAAGATGATGGACATCCATCTCCCTGTCTGGCCACTTGTGTATTATATACCTACAATACACTGTATGCCTATTTGCATACTGAGCAAGATGCGCATTGAGATATTGTGAATTTTACAAGAGGAAATAGACAGGAAGAAAAACAGCAAGGGGGTGTCCTGCTTATGAATCAAGACAAAAGATTGATCCCGTATAACTTAGTGTCTTGGATTGCACTCCAAATCTTTCACCTAGGAGACAAATTTACAGCAGGATTGTCTCATGAAACAAGGGTCACAGCCAGCTGGCTATGTAACACTGCAAGGATTTTGGGTGAGCAATACTCTACTAGACATGAGACTTGTTAATCAAGTCTAGGCTCAGAATGTGTGTTATTTTTTGTAAGTAACCATTTGTTTCCAAAATTTCTACTTCCTATTACTTGAATTGCTATGCTTTGTGAAATAAACAGATTTACCATGAAATCAAACATAAGTGCTGTTAGTTAAGTCCAGCAGTAATCTGAGGTAGAACCGGTAAATTGGGATGTACTTTTTCTTTGGAATATGCTGCAAGTGTCCAAATGACCAGGGGCTGAACATTCCAAGGACACACTCGGAGGGCTTGAGTGTGCCTATTGCTAATCTACAGAATGATAGTGGGGCCTATGGGGCCTAGAGGGGAGTGTTTCTGTTGCCAGTGGCTGGTGGGGGGGTGGCAGGGGTGCGGACGCATGGCAGGCACAAACAAGACTTCTTCACACTAAGGACAGGCGGCAGCAAAGTGCATCAACTCTGGGTACCTCCCGGAACTGTCGTAGTGTCCCTGTTCTCTGGATTAAAGATATATATGGTGATAGCAGTGCAATCTTCCTCACCCCAACTGAAGTGATCAAAGGTAAAAATGTAAGTAACTTCCCATACCAATTTAGTCCTCTGCTTCACTGCAGAGCCTACCAACAAGACAACTAACAGTTTTTTGTGATGTAGACACTTCCTGTAAGTTCTCTGGGGCAATGACAGTCTTAGTGGTGAGTGAGTGTGAGTGTGTATTATCATTTTAGGAGTCTAGCATAATGGGGTCTCAGTCAAAGATCTTCAGGCACTATTATTATACAAATAGAACATCAAATAGAAGTGAACCATGACAAACCAGCTCATTTCATTTCACACAAGCAAAAAAAATGCAAAAAAAATCCCACACACCTCACCACAACCCACACATCCGACTCAGATGGTAACCTGATTCACAATAGACAATGGCCAAACTTGAATTGATGACAGAAACTGAGGATCTCTTTTCTGATCACTGAGGCACCCAGACCCTTCTGAGGTAAGTTTTGTCTCTGTACAGCATTTGTAATAGATACACTAATTTATACTGTCCTAAATATGTTGCAGGACTACTGAACATTATTTTTCTTACTTGATTGTTATAGAGTTCCTCCAAATGAGTTATAGATTTAATTGATTTGGATCTGCAAATTTCTTCCTCTGTAAACTTCCGTATATCTGGATGAACCTTCTGAGCTCGCCCCAAGCGCAAAAATCCTACTTTGAACCTGGCTAACTTCAGCAGGATATTGTCAACAGCAGTGTGTGTAAAACTTGTCAGCAGAACACTGAAGCCACAGGCATAAAGAATTCTTACCTAAAATAGGAGAGTAGCAAGGAGAGAAAAAAGAAAAACCCAGATATTAGCTTGAATATAGGAATCAGTAATTCCTTTCTTAAAAGGATAATTAGTCTACATTTTTCTAAATTGGTGTTGGACCTAGGAAGCCAAAAAGTCATATGAGGGGACAAGATTCCCAAGCAGGCCCTTGTCTACACTGGGATTTTACCCACCAATGTAAACCCCCTGTCTCTAACCAGCGCAGCACAATTTGTATGGGGTAAGCTTCACCAGGTTAAATCAGGCCAACATTAGGAGTTTTCACTAGTGCAGCTACACCAGCACTTAATATCCCAGTGCAGACAAACCTTGGGTTCTCACACCAGATCTACTGCTAATGAAGTGCTTGTTTCCAAACCTCAGATCTACTTCAAAATTGGAAGATTTTATTGTAGTCTGGTGCCAAAGGATTGTAACAGCATTAAAACATTGTAAATTGATCAATATGTCATCACCCACTTCCAAGATGGGACTGGTGGATGGGATTTAATAAATAAATACATAAATAAAAATAAAACACACACCACTTGACACCAAAGGATACATTTTGTCATTCTACTAGTGCTAATGTTCTTTATCGTAAAGCTGGCTCCATATTTATTTCAATGTAAATGACAGACAGATGTCCTGTATAAATCTCAATTGTGAAGAGGATGCTTCACATACAGCTTATTTGATGCTTGCCCTCCAAGCTTTTAAATTAACAATTTACTTCTAACATTAGGTCACATTATGGTCTTACTAGAGCACATATTGTAGTAGTTTTTCCTGTTCCAGGCATACCCACGATGAGCGTGTAATCTTTTGAAAGTAGCACTTGTTTCATTGCCTGTTTCTGAGGCTTATTCAGACCTTTAATTAGAAAAAGAAAAAAGTTAAATATTTGTAGTTAATCCTATATGCAACCTTAACTGCTAGTTCTCCCCACTAAAAACTCATCATAACAAAAAGATAACTTGTTTACTGGTGCATAATTTTTGATAACACTATAAATGGTATCTAAAGACTTTATTTAAAAATACTGAAATGTAGATAAGAAGGTATTCATTGTCTATCCTGGCTCCAGAAGTACTAAATTAATCTTAATAGCTTATGATTTGTTCCTCCCTTTCTTAATAGCTTATGATTTGTTCCTCCCTTTCTTCCTCTACACAGGATCTCAAATACGGGTTTCCATTTTGTTGAACAAGAGTGACATGTATGCATTGCTTCTAGGGGAGATAAAAAGATGCAGGCAAGAGCATCTTGCTATTTAAGAGAAACATTAGAACAGAGTTCATTTTCCCAGTAGAGAACAGATGCAAGCTACCCAGCCTAGGTTAAGCCCAGATAAAACTCAGGCTTTGTCTAAACTGGAATTTCGTCAGCAAAACCTTTGTTGTTCAGGGGTGTTAAAAAAAAAACAGAAAACAAACCCTCGAATGACAAAAGTTTTACCAACGAAAAGCGCTGGTGTGAACCGCGCTTTGTCAGCGGAAGTGCCTGCTGACAAAGCTGCTGCCGCCGGTGGTTGTGTTGGTTTTTTGTTTGTTTGTTTTTTTTGTCGTCAGCAAGAGAGTTTTCTCCTTCCAACTAACAGCTACACTGCGCACCTTTTAGCGGCACAGCTGTAGCGGCACAGTCGTGTCGCTAAAAGCAAGGTAGTATAGACAAAGCCTCAGTTGAAACAGATAAGCAGGAAGAAATGTTTAAACTAATAGGTAGGTGTTGCAAGTGCACTTTCTACTAGAAGTCATTATCTTTAACAGTGTGTTTTGCATTCTTAGAGTCATTCTTTACCCATTACTACTTCTGAATTCTCAAGTACACACAGCTCTTCTTCCTTCTGTTCCCCCTACCCCTTTTGCTGCCAGCCAGGAGGCTGTACCCATTCCTATCTGATGCAGACCTTAACACAATAATCAAAATTTTAGCCTCTAGACTAGTTTACTACAAGTTACTGTATCTAGGGCTACCCCTGAAAAACACCTGGACACTACAGATGGAGGGGGAAGAGAAGAGAGACTGCTACAAGTACATAACGCTATCTCAGTGTTTCACAGTGGCTACATACTTGCTTCCAGTATTGGTTATGATCTAGAAAGCCTCAGGTGATTTGGGGCCAAGTTATCTGACAGATTCTCTCTCTGCCCCTCCTCCCCCCCATGGAAGTTAAAATCTACAGGGTCAATTTTGTTTGTTCTCACAGTTACACTCTATGGGCTAGTAAAAGGGTGTTTTTATTGAAAGGTAAGTCTCTCTTGAACCTGCTCCCTCCAATAGTCTGCAAGAGGAAGAAATTAAAGCGCTTAAATGTGCACCTTTTTACTAGTTTAGGACTAATTTAATAGTAGAAATAAGGGCAAGCTTGAGTTGCTCAGATCTGAATCTTAAAGTGGAAAGGCTCACACTTTATTGATGCAAGGTGCCAGGTGCTTTGTAATTGATGTATATATTTCTAAACAGATTAATTATGTCAGTCAATGGATATGAGAAGTCCTATAAAAATAAAGAAACATTTAAGCTGCTATTATGAGTTAAATATAATGTGTACCCTTTAAAATGTTTGCAACTGTTTCCTTTGCTTCAGGAGGAAGAACAGAGCTCAAGTGCTGGATGAACAGTGGTTTGTGGAAGTCAATTATTAAGTTACGAAGCTTTTCACTAGGGGAAAAAAAGGAATTAGACAAAATTACTATCAGTGAGAACATTTATACAATTACTAAACAATATTTGAAAACAATTCAATTCTACAAACCTGGCAGAAGAATTCTCCATCAGTTTAGAAAGATTTCTTAGGGGGGCATCAATACCAGAAATTCCTTCTTCATGATCTAGCCTAAATATAGTGTCCTTAGGGAGTTTAGATAAGTTCCTGAAAGACATAATAGGAATAATAAGCAGGAATATAATTGCCTTTGCTTCCATGTCTGCTTATTGCTTATAGACCTCCTATGGCATTGTTGTCAGTGATGTTGCCTGACGTATGAAGGCAGCCTGAAACAATAGCTCCAAGAAGGAATAAACTACCCCTATTCATGTCAGCAAGGTGAGAACTCTGAAGCCTGATAATTTAAAACAGCAGTGGTATCCATTTCACTGTGATGAAAGCATTCAAGCAGGGATGCTGGAACTAGGAGTACTGGAGGTGTGGCAGCACCTTCTGGCTTGAAGTGGTTTCCATCATATATAGGGTTTATAGTTTCGTTCAATGGCTTTCAGCACCCCCCCATTATAAAAGTTATTCCAACACCACTGCATTCAAGAAAGAAAAGGGATGATATAATATAAAGATCCACAGAGTCTATGAATAGCATCTTTATTTTGTTGTCACAAATAGATGGAGCTTGGAAACATGCCATAATATTTTGCTTATTAGCTAACAGCCTAGGTAATTGGTGGACGAACTCCCGGGGGGGGGGGGGGGG